TATCAAAACATTGTTTTTTGGAAAATATACCAAACACATTAAAGGGAAATTGATCCGCTAGAACTATAGAAATTGACAGAACAAAATCAACTAAAGACCTAGTTCGATATCAAAATATGGTCTTGTGTAAAGACCTAAATTCAAGGTTGGTTCCCAAATCAAGTAAACGTTTACAAAAGCAAATATTAAAATTTGTAAACAATTGCTTATGAACCAATAATCTTTTTTAAAATAGTGAAAAGTATTTTTTTTTTTTACATCAAAATACCCCGCTTATTTCGCGCGTCCAAATATCTAGTGTTTCTATAAACTACTAAACTTTATTTGGATAAGTAAATTTGGCTTATCTTTTAGGTTATATTTACATAACATCTAATTAAGTTCATGTTGATTAATAAAGTAAATCGCATTCGTTACGCAATACCATACAAATGACATCTTTAACAATCCAATAAATACCTAAACAAATTCCCACTTTTTTCGTACAAAACGATAGGTATCCAAACAATTTGCTTTAAATCGAACTAAACAAAACAACTATACATGAAGATCGTAGCGTTTTTTGTTATCGCATTCGCCATACTCTTGGCATCATTTTTTCTTCCGATAACCGCTTCCACGGGGAATAAAGAACCATGTGATACACAAGGGATTCAGGTTTGCTTCGAAGCTCTACTTGATGGGGTAGAGATGGGAAATGCATGTTGTAAGAGATATAACGTGGAAGAATCATGTATGTGTGATGTATTGCAAACCCGGCATCGCCTCACGAACGATGCCCTTAACACTCATCTTAAATCTTGTGGTCTTCCCCCTGTCAAATGTTAATTTTGATCTTTAAAGAATACATAACAAGAAGAAGCAAATACGAAACCGACTGATTCGAGACACCAAACTAACTAGAGTCTTTGAGTCATCTTATCTTTAGTTGTATACAATTTCAAGTAATTGTCAATAACGTATAATTGGAGTTATAGTGTTTACCGTTTAGGAACTTTCTCTCCACCTTTTTTTTATCAAAAAAATAACTTTCTCTCCACCTTTCCATTCTCCTTGCTTGTAAATGTAATCTTGTAATCTTTGTATTT